CGGGGCTAGGAAGAGACGTTGGCAAATGAAGCTGGAGAAGTCGAAGGATCTTAGAGTTTTGCAGGCCTTCTCGGTGTGGGGAAGGAGGTTACCTTTCTTGCAGGGTGAAGAACCACGCAAGGGTATTTAGCAGAGGGTTTGTGCAGTATCACTCAGCTCCTGCGTGGGAGAATAAGCGGGATTGAATTGTGCTAAGGCGATCGATGTTTAGTATTACAGGGCTTGAGAGAAGGGAATGGGCACCTGGATGAAAGGGTGATGGAGGTGGACAAATGGTGGATTTGTTTTAAAAGAATTTATGAGGGGAGTGGGAGTCAAAGGATAAATATTCTGGTTGAGTAACTGCATGCATGTTTGTGACTCTCTTCAGGAGAGCTAGGCAAAGCTGAAGGGGGCAGTAGAGAAGCAGATGTTTAGTTCAGACAGGCTCCCAACCCAGTGAAGATCAAACTGGTGGACAGAAAGGACTCTGGGCCAGCTTCAGCTGGCAGGCCAAGCCCCACAGATTCTGAAGTTTCCCTGGAGGCTGCTCAGGGCACATGGTGAGTGTGGAATGTAGACTACCATTTTGGTGGCAAACGTTATGTACCTCCATAAGCCTCTAAAAAATTAGCAACTTTTGTGAGGACCCCGGACATAGAATGGCCAGATTCCAGTCAAGACAGGATAGATTTTCACTGAAGCAGCCCAGTCTGTTCCTCAACCAGCTGAGAAGCTCCAATAAAGTCATTGTTATTTACCCTGACGCAGCCCAAGGTTTGGAGTCACTGGCAGGAATTCTGGTATCTAACTGTTTTTCAGAGCAGAAGAATAGATGGGAAGGGAACGGCCTGTGAAGACACATGCATTTCCTACTTTTTTCTTCGTAAATGCCAGCGCAGGTATTTCCCGGATGGCAATGATGTCTAGAGATTTGGCTTCAAAACGCAAAACAAGAGGGATGGGAAGCAGATTGGAGTGTGATGAGTCAAAAGTGCCAAAGGTTACTAATTGGTTTAAAGCCACGTAATGGATGTGGAGATTCGTCGTACCGTCTCTATATTTTTTGATGTTTAATGGGGATGTGGAGATTATTGTACTGGTTTCTATATTTTTGTGGTAGTTGAAAAAATTTCTTTTTCTTTTTTTTTTTGAGATGGAGTCTCGCTCTATTGCCCAGGCTTGGAGTGCAGGTGGCACAATCTCTGTTCACTACAACCTCTGCCTCCCAGGTTCAAGTTGATTCTCTGCCTCAGGCCTCCCAAGTAGCTGGGACTACAGGCGGTGTACCACCAATGCCTGACTAATTTTTGTATTTTCAGTAAGATGGGCTTTTACCATGTTGCCAGGCTGGTCTTGAACTCCTGAGCTTGTGATCTGGCTATGCCTCGCTCGCCCTTCCCAATGGAGTGCCGGAATTACAGGGTGTGAGCCACCACACCCAGCAAAAAATATATTTAAAAAGGTAAGAAACACACAAGACAAGCAGGCTCGGACTTATGTTGCTCCATGATGAACCCCCCAGGAATGGTCCAGTTGCCCTGGATCCTGCAAACTCCAGGGCAGCGACATTCCTTTCCTCCAAGCAGTTGCGTGACTTTTGAACATTTGCTCCAGCAAGAAATCTATGTAATGGGTTTTATTTATCCATGTCACCTGCTATACTATGTTTATCGTAGCTCAGCATGATTCACAGGTGCCTAAGCACAGTACTTGGTGTGTAACAGTGCTAACTGAATGTTGGATGGATGGAGGGATTAAAAAAAAAAGCAAAACACCTAAATACCAGACACTTAATAAATGTTTCTTGGGAGGCCAAGGTGGGCAGATCACAAGGTCAGAAGTTCAAGACCAGCCTGGCCAACACAGAAAAACCTCATCTCTCCTAAAAACTACAAAATTACCCAGGCGTGGTGGTCGGGCACCTGTAATCCCAGCGCTCAAGAGGCTGGGGCAGGAGAATCGCTTAAGCCTGGGAGGGCAGAGGTTGCAGTGAGCTGATACCGCACCATTCCACTCCAGCCTGGGAGACAGAGCAAGACTCTGTCTCAAAAAAATAAAAATAAAATAAATAAATGTTTTCTGAACTGTATTATCTGTTGCTTCATAGTTAATTGTTTGCCATTTTTTAAGATAAAAAACCAAGGAGAGTTCTCTACACAATGTAGATATTTGATAAGTACTTACTCATTCATTGCTTGATGTGCTAGTCTATTCTTTAAATAACAGAGGTTCCAAAACAAAGAGCTTCAGTAATAGGATCACAGTCAGGTAACCAATTATCCGAGTAGGAAGGTTGCCTTAGTTGAAGTAACTGGAGGTGAATGGGGATTTGTCAGGCAGGCTCTTCCAGGCAGAGGTGAACATTCCTTGTTGTTTTGACAGAAGGAGGAAATGGAATGACCATCAAGAGAAAGGTAGTTGCTGGCTTGAAAGGATCATCCGTACAACAGGCAGCTAATCAGAAGAAGACCTTATAAATACTTTTGATACCACCCACACTGTTCCTATTATTCCCCACCACTCCATCGGCCTAGTGAACTCTTCCTCATCCTTCAAAACCCAGCTTAAACATGACCTTCAGGAAATCTTCAGCTGGCTTCCCAGGACAGAGTGGGTCTGTCCTCTGCATGCTCCTGCTGCTGTGCTGTACTCACCACACTCTACTGTAATTTATTGGTTTATAAGTCAGTTCCGCTGCTGGGTTGTGAGCTCCTCCAAGGCAGGAGCTTTGCCATATCTACCTATGCTCCCAGGACTTACACAGTGCCTGATGTGTAGGAGGTACCCCCTGAATGTTTAATATAATTAGAAGGAGCATATCAGGTAAATTAGCAAAGCAACCTATGGGATGCAGGATGTCAGACAATAGGGGTAGGTGGGCTTATGGGAGCTGAAGAGCACATGCTCCTCACCTCTAGTTGATTGCTCTGTGCGATAGGGGCCCAGTGGTGGTGGATCTAACAACTTTTTAAGAGATTCTGAAAATTCAGACTGACTTGAATATTCCGGATTTTCAACATTAGCAACTAATTCCATTTGGGGGAAAAGTGTAGCATGGGTCTGCAGATAAGATCTGGCTATAATTCATGTTCAGAGGTAATCAGGAAACGATTAGTTGACTGAAAATGTAGTTGACAATCAGATGGATGCTAGGTTGCCAATAAAACGTGTTGAGTGGAATTCACATGCCCCAGAAAGCTCGTCCTGGTGCTGTGGGCCAGGAAAAGGGCCCAAGTGTGGGAAGAAGGATTCAGGAGGCAGAGCCTACTCTCTCAGTGCTGCCGGAGCCACTCTTGCTTGAGCTGAAGTACTGTGGACTCTTTTGCAGCCTTTCCTGGTATTGCTCAAACTGAGCCACCCTTGATATTGTGCCTCTCAGAATGATGGATTAAATGTTATTGTTTCCTTGCATTCCATAGGCATCAGATATCAACTGTCATTGTGAAACATATTACAATGTAAGAGATTTGATATTGTCCTAACAGTGTTAGTCTCTGGTGGCTATACTGAGCTCTTCTGGTTTAGAGGTGAAACAACCCAGAGAAAGGATTTATTTATGTATTCGTTTTTGGTCTGAAGACCAAAAAGGATGTTTACAAGATATTAACAGTAATAATTCATTCAGCAGCTGTTTTTAAAGCACCTGCTGTATGATAACTGCTACAGATACAGTGATGGTGAAAGCACAGTTAGCTCAGTGTTATTTTAGAAGTTTTTATTTTGTGCTTCCTCGATTTATATTTTCTGTACTGATCGTGCATAATTTTTTACAATCATTAAAAAAACAAGAAAGCAATTTCTTTTTGCAAAAAAAGGAAAAAAAGAGCTTTCTTTTGCTTTGAAAAATGAGCCCTCAAGAGAGGAATCCACTTGGGGATTTGGGCTTTTATTTTCTAAAAACTACCTAAAGAGTCCAGTAAGAGAAATAATGCAAAGAAAATATTAACACTGAAAATTCTTTAGCAAATATCAAGTCCAACTGATTCATCTTATTGAAGAGAAAACCAAAGTACAGATGAGCAAATGACTCAGTCTAGGTCATAGGTGTGACCCAGTCAGGACAGAACAGACTGAGGTCTAGATCTTCTGCTTTCCATCCCTGTAAGCTTTTCCATTATACCAAGTCGACTTGTCATAAACATTCATTTGTTTGAGACAGTCTCTTCTGATTCATCTGAAGGTAGTCTTCAGACATTTTATTGGGTAAATCTTTCATTTGTCCAAATCTATATATAGCTCTTTTCTTTCCAAAAAAAGTCTAGGCTCTTCCAAATTGCTGAGTCAGAGAACATCTCAGTATTTATAATGCTTGAGAGTTGGTTCTATATATTTACACAGTACTCAGAGATGTGTCTCAGAAACCAGCGAACTAATTAAATTGTAATGAAACTCCATGAAGGTAGTAACTGTTCCTATCCAAATTCATCGTGTACCCTACCCCAGCACCCAGTGCAGTGCCTGACACACGGTAGGTGCCCAATAAATATTTGCTGAAGGAATGAATTCTAATAGAATTGAGATTTTTCTGTGTACAAGGGATTATTTCACATGTTGTTTTTCATATTTCCCCAATGAACTCAAAATGGAAATATTCACCAGCCTGCTTGACGTTGCCATTTGAATAATAGAAACCTAGAATTTAACACCTCAGAAAGTAAGCTTCTACTTAAAAAAAATTAGCTGGGTGTGGTGACATCCACCTGTAGTCCCAGCAGGATCGGTTGAGCCCAAGAGGTCGAGGCTGCAGTGAGCCATGATCATGCCACCGCACTGCAGCCTGGGAGACAGAGTGAGGCCCTGTTTCAAAAAACAAACAAAACCAAAAGCTCCTGATTTTACCCCTAAACCTAATCATTTTCCAAGTAAATGGCAGCACCATTCATTTACCTAGGGGCAGAAACTTTGGGTCATTCTTGACCTCTGTCTCTCATACTCTTCATCCACTTCTCCAGTGAATCCTGCAGCTCTTCCTGCAGACTACATTTTTTTCTTTTTCTTTTATTTATTTATTTATTTATTTTTTGAGATGGAGTCTTGCTCTGTCGCCCAGACTGGAGTGTAGTGGCTTACTGCAACCTCCAACTCTGAGGTTCAAGTGATTCTCCTTCCTCAGGCTCCTGAGTAGCTGGGATTACAGGCGCCCACCACCACACCTGGCTAATTTTTGTATTTTTAGTAGAGATGGCATTTCACTATGTTGGTCAGGCTGGTCTCGAGCTCCTGACCTCAAGTGATCCGCCCACCTTGGCCTCCCAAAGTGGTGGGATTACAGGTGTGAGCCACCATGCCCGGCCCTGCAGACTAACTTCTGAATCCAGCCAGTTCTCCCCACCTCCTCCAAGACCACACTGATCCAGGTACCATTCAGCTCTCCCGAAACAGCCTCCTAACTGCTCCCCTTGCTTTTTCTCTTGCCCCCTTATGAACTGTTTTCTCCTCCTAAGGTAATCAGATCAAGTCATTTCCTGGTTCAAAGCTCTCCCATGGCTTTCCTTCAAACTTAGGAAAAAAACCCAAAGCCCTTACGGTGGTCTAAAAAGCCCTGCGTGATCTGGCTCCCTCCATGGCCTCCTTTCCTGCCATTCCCCCCTCAGTGTGCACCAACCAAAATGGCCTTCTTTGCTCTTTCTTGAACAAGCCAAGTATATTCCCACCTCAGGGCTTTTGCACCAGCTAATTGCTCAGCGTGGAACTCTCTTTCCTCGGATTCTCATAGCTTGCTCTTTCATTCTTCTTACATCAGAGCTGCCATGTCAGCTCCTCATAAAGGCTTTGGCTTACACTCCTGTATAAATGCCTCCCCTTAACCGGCTTCATCTTTCTTCACTACGTGTAATCACTACCTAAAATTATATATGTTTATTAGTGTATTATGTATCTCCTCTGATTATAAGGTTTCATGAGGCCTGGCAAGGATTCTTATTTTATATATCAATGTATTCTTAACCTCTAAAGCAATGCCTGGCATATAGTATGTGCTCGATAAATATTTACTTATTGAATGAATGAATGAATGAATGAATATTTTCCTGGACCTTTTCATCTCTTGCTGCCTAACCTGATATTGCCAACTTGGAGGAAGATGAATTATCAAGAGTGATTCAAAGGACCTGAAATAAAACTTGCAAAGCTTAGAAGTTCACAATATAGCAGCTCTGGGCATAGGTTGCCCCAATAACTTCTTTCAAGCTAGGTCCCGTGCAAGAACCTTTATTCTCCCCTGTCAAGGTACACCACTTTGCACTTTTCACCCTTTAAATTTAGTTGTGTATTGTATGTAGTTTATACACCTGAAAGCATATAAGAGGTGCTGGTCTTCTCCCTAGAATTCTAGCCAGGGTACTGCTGGATGTACGATGAGCTGGATTATTCTGCAGAATTTACATCGCATAAGTAATTTGCCTGTGCCTTAGATCTGTTTAAATATCTGTGAAGTCATTTAAATTCATTTAACTCAAGGGATTTCCTAACAACCTCCCTCTTGGTCTGTTCTCCCTGACTTAGAAGTTGCTTCTTCAATTTCTCCCTCTGTAAAATTGGGGGTAATCGTAGCAGTCCTCACAGAGTGGTTATGAGGCTTAAATGAGACGGCAGTGATGAAGTGCTGACAAGAAGATCCGGCCTGTAGCAGGTGTTCAGTGAATGCTAAGAGCTGTTACATGTGTCATTACTGTCACCACCATCATGCCTGACGCCCAGCTCAAAAATGATTAGCTTCTAGTTGACTTTCAAGTCGAAATCTAGTCTCTTCACCTCCCAGTCAGGGCCCACCAGCGATACCGCCTCAAGTTCTGGTCGACAGTCTCACTGCTTGTTTTTCCCTAACATTAATGCTGGGTTTTTGGTGAATTTCATCCATTTTCTAACTCCACCTGATATCTTCATTTTCTACTCCAGGGCTTTAAACATCCCAGTCTACTGCTTTTATTGAAGTTCCTTGCCTTTAATTTATTTTTTTAATGTTTAAATCCATGCTTATGTTTTCTGAAATATGTCAGACCTCTTCTTTAACCAGTAAGTTTTGAGACTAATTAATACTTTAATACATTTAGCTTTTAAAAATGTCTTTATTGAGGTATAACACACAGTAAAGTGCACTAATCTTAAGCGTATGGCTGAATGAATGTTTCCGTGTGAAGTGGAAACATTTCACACATGTGAAATCCCCAGCCACATCAAAATACAGAACATTTCCAGCAACCCAGAGGCTCCCTCAGGCCCGTTTCCAGTCAGTACTATCCAAAAGAAACTGGCCAGGCGTGGTGGCTCACTTCTGTAATCCCAGTACTTTGGGAGGCCGAGGCGGGCGGATCACAAGGTCAGGAGTTCGAGGCCAGCCTGGCCAACATAGTGAAACCCCATCTCTACTAAAATACAAAAAAAATTAGCCAGGTGGGGTGGAGGGTTCTTGTAATCCCAGCTACTTGGGAGGCTGAAGCAGAAGAATCACTTGAAACCAGAAGCCGGAAGGCAGAGGTTTCAGTGAGCTGAGATCGCACCACTGCACTCTAGCCTGGGCAACAAGAGTGAAACTCCATCTCAAAAGAAAAAAAAAAAAAAGAAAACGCTGTTATGGTTTCTATCACTATTGGTTTGTTTTTCCTGTTCTTGAACTTTTGCATTTGGTTTCTTTCACTCAAATATGATGTCTTCAAAATTCTTTCGTTTTGTTGCTTGTAGCATAATAGTTGGTTCTTTATTGCTATGAGTATATCATTGTGTGACTACTCCACAATATACTTATCCATTTTCCTATTGATGGATAGATAATTATTTCCACTTCAGGGCTATTGTAATAAAGCTGTTATGAACATTAAAAAATATATGGTTGGCACTTTCGGAGGCTGAGGTGGGTGGATCACTTGAGGCCAGGAGTTCGAGACCAGGCTAGCCAACATGGCGTCTCTCCTAAAAATACAAAAATTAGCCATGTGTGGTGGTGGGCATCTGTAATCCCAACTGCTTGGAAGGCTGAGGCAGGAAAAATCCCTTGAACCCGGAAGACAGAGGTTGCAATGAGCCGAGATTGCACCACTGCACTCCAGCCTGGGCAACAGAGCGAGGCTCAATCTCAAATAAATAAATAAATAAATAAATAAATAAATAAATCTCAAATAAATAAAATAAAGCTATATGGTTGAATAGATGCACTTTTTTCCTCAGGCGGATATGGTGAAGAGTTCACCTGCTGGGCTGTAGGGTAGGCACATATGTTCAGCTTGAGTAGATGCTGCCAAACAGTTTTCCAGAGTGGTTGTACCAAATTATACTCCCACAGTAATGTCTGAGAGTTCCAGTAGCTTCACATGCTCCAGTAATTGGTGGTCTTTTAATTATGCCTATCCTGGTGGGAATATAGGTGGCCTGGTGGGCGTCTTATTTTAATTTGTATTTCTCTAATGAATAATGATGTTGAGCACCTTTCTATATGCATTTTGACCACTTGGTGACTTTTTGGGGTTAGGTGATTACTGAAGTTTTGTCTCATTTTTAACAGTTGGGTTTTTTTTTTTTTTTTTTTTTTTTGAGATGGAGTTTCACTCTTGTTTACCAGGCTGGACTGCAGTGGCGCAGTTTCAGCTCACCACAGCCTTGGCTCACTGCAACCTCCACCTCCTGGGTTCAAGCAATTCTCCTGCCTCAGCCTCCCGAATAACTGGGATTGCAGGCATGCACCACCACGCCCGGCTAATTTTGTATTTTTAGTAGAGACAGGGTTTCGCCATGTTGGTCAGGCTGGTCTCGAACTCCCAACCTCAAGTGATCTGCCCGCCTCAGCCTCCTAAAGTGGTGGGA